ATAAGATACAGGGGCCCAAAAGGGTGGAAGATGGTACGACCTGCGACAGAAAAACAGACGGGGATGTGGAAAACAACACGCCATTGGTAACAGAATCCGCGATGAACACATGCGAAAGATGAAGGGCGATTGGTGAAGAAGCCTCCAGAAGCTTCCAGGATTTGGTCAAAGTCCGCTCACTGACCGAAGAAAAGGAGTCAAGGTCTTAGACATGCGCTCGTAGCAAGAAGTCACGTAAATGAACGAAATGCATAGGTGATTCCATACTAAGGAAGCAAACAGTCAACAGAGACGCAGCTTGAGATGGGAGGAGAAACGGGTGGGACAGAAGGCGGGACAGAGGTGGAGTCAAGTGTTAACAAGTCTAAACCAAAGTGTATACATGCAGGAAAAATCTCTTGTTCGGGGCTGCTCCCCGTACTCTGTCGGCGTGGGAGCTTGCCCGAAGCCGTCTCCATTCTAATAAAAAGCTGATGCGAGCAATGTGTGCTGGTGTTTGCTCCCTGCTCTGCTCTGGCTAACGAGTAACAGGATCCACAGGTAATCGGACCGTCGTCTCCCTAGTTGTTGGGCGCCGCGTGGAGTCAGGGTCTAACAGAGGGTCTAACATTTAATGACTGAATAATTGGTCGGTCTGGTGAGCCAAGCAGACAGGTCCCGGCCTGATTGCCGAGGAGGGAGGGGTGAGGATCGAGGAGTAAAAGAGGGTGTAGATGAACACACAGCGCCACCTACTGGCAGAGGCTGGAACGCAGCGCCCCTCCTGGCAAAGGGGATTAACTACAAGTCTTTGGAGTCTCTGGCTGTTTGCACGAACAAAATCCACAGTTGGAGCGGCGTAACAGGAAAGCGATGCAAATTAAAACATCTCCCAGTAGTTTTACTTTGAGGGGCTAAATGGACTTGAAAGTGGCGGGAAATCCCAGGTTGTGCAAACACAAACACAAACACAGTTGTGTCGATGTAAACGGGAAATTTTGTTCAGTCTACAAACGCCCCGAGATGCCCACGAGCTGCATGACAGCCTATCAGAGGCAGAGCTGACCCCTAGTGAACTACCACACACTATCCCAGGATTACTTTGTATCTGAGACAGGGTCTTTTAATTTCTTATGTTGGAAAGAGAATGCTGTATGCACCACTCTCACATCCCCCCACCGCTTTCCCATAACAATACCAAACGTTACCAGAACTGACCCGACATCTTTACAGCTCCTTATCACGGAAGAAAACTGCTCCAAGCCTTCGTCCCCCAGCTCACATCCTTGGAGGTCGATCGTATCTAGAGCGGGTTGATCCAAACAATATTGCAGGGCTCCAGCCTCCGCAGCGCTGAGGGCAACATTACGCAGGGTGATGGTCTTCAGAGGGCGAGACACTTCTTCAGCCCGAGAATGATCGTGCAGCTGAAAAAGGCCATGGAAAACCTTCAGCGTGTCTGTTGGACTAAGCCCTGCGGCAATCCAGCGTTGAAACCAGTCCAGAAGAATGTGTCGTGCCGGGTCAAGGAGGGGACCTGCAGCATGCAGGAGGCTTTCAATATTGCTGTAAGGCAGAAGGGCCATGAAGAAAAGGTCAAAATTCTGCATTTCTGCCCTATGAGTGCAGGCTATATAGATCTTCATGGCATTCAGGCATACTGCCAGCACCTCTCTGGACTGGGTTTCCAGAACAACATACAAGGAAGCAAACATCTCTCTTATCCCACTGTGGCGGTAGGAAAAGACTTCACCACTTCCATTTGCCTTACAAATGAACTTGGAAAAATACTTTGAGAGAAGCTTTGGATCAATCTGCCATTTGTTGAGGTCGGCTTGCTTTATTTTTCGGACACCGAGCATCAGATGCTCAAAGGACATATTTGCCAGTCGACGGATAACATCTTTAATACTCTCTGGAAGTCTCAGCAGTGCTACACGACTAGCTCCATCCGAGTCGATGTTAATGCAACAACTTCCTTCTTGTCCCAACATACCGGCTTGGCCAACACTTGGTCCTCCGTTAGCACAACTGCTTGGAATGTGCCTCAAGGAATCACAGAGCATATTAATTTGCACAGGAAAAGCATATAGTGCCAACAACTTGCTTTCTCCTCTAGACTCAGAGCTACATTTCTCCATCTGTTTATCTGATGTATTGAAGGAGTCCTTAATATCGGCAGCACTGAATTCAGGGATCACAACCAAATAACGAAAACGCCTGCTAATTCCACTCACTGAATGACCCCGAGCAGTAACTAACACATCTGCGTTACGGAGAAGATCCCCGGCAATGATTTTGTACACCAATATTTTTATGTCAAAGGCGCTATCCATCCCATCGGTTTCCCCGCCGCTGGGGAACTGGAGGCAGTTCAGATCCTACCGGAACTCATTCAGCCCATCAAGAATAATTAATACCTTTTCATGACTGTTTTGATCACTCAGGACTGAAAGCAGCTGTTCGCACTTCTGTTCCAGAAGCGCTTTCACGATGATGGGCGTCTCGATGGAGTTCAAGTCACTGAATGATATAGTAGTCACATGGCTATAGGCCATCTTGCTTTCTCCTGAAGCCCAGTTTTCCAAGAGCTGTTGAGAGATGGCACTTATCCCTGTCCCCACAGAGCCAAGCAGTAACATCCGCTCAGATCGCAGCTCCTGGGCAGTGACTAGCTCACGTGACGATACGGGGCTCAGAAACTCCTGGCTTCTGTAAACACAGTCGTGGATCTCTCCACGCGTGTGCACCACCTTCCCTTTTATAACAACCCAGATGCGACCCGACTGTCTCTTCCAAAAGATGAATTGTTGAATGCAAGTAGCAGGTTTGGGAAGTCTCTGGACTCCTTCACGGCAGCGCACACAGATTTCTACAAAACAATAAAATTCAAGTAAGTGGCCGACGCAGGAACAGAAATGGGATTCCTGTATCCCAGCAGCCACCACCAGCAACCTCTATGGTTAAGGCAGGGAAACCATCCCCATCCTAATCCCGTTCTCCTGTCTCAGCACCTTCACGACTGCTGGCCGTCAAAGGGGAACACTTCATACTTGGCTTTCTACTTGAAGAGGACTTTTTCTAAAGGGTCATTTTCCAGCTAATGCTAAGGGAGGGGAGAGGTGGGGGTGGAAAACCAGCCCGCTTGGAAAAGAAAAATCCAACCAAACCAATCAGCCCGGACAGATTGGTTTCAGAGCACCACTTGGATATTCCTCCTTCCTAGGCACAAAGCGATTACAAGGAGGGCTTTTTGTGAAGCATATCGAAAAAGCCTCAAAACCCCCACTTTTCCAGCACCCAGCCCTCAAGGAAGTAGCGTGTGCAAGATATATGTTCACAGCTAAGAAAACTACGGGGCCTGGGCCCTTAGGTCCCATTAACAACCTTGGAATAGGATGCAACACTTGCGGCTCAAAAGTAAATGACTTTTGCCTTTAAGGAGACTGCTGAGCAGCCCTCATTCTCCAGTTCCTTAATGATCCCCCAAGACACAGCAGTGACAGACCACGTTATTATAGCCACGCAACCATCAGCTTCCCTTCACGGACTGGGAAGATCTCCTTTTCTCTGGTACGCCTTTCAACACTTATTCAGATGCGCACACGCTTTTTATAGCAAGAGGCGCTTTCCATCACCGAGTCTGATGTCAACCGAGATGCCGGGGGCTTCCAGGAGTGGTCCTGCAGACACTACGCAGTGCGTCCTAACTTCCCAGCCCACCGACGGGAACGCTGTCTTTATGCAAAAGGTAGAGAGAGCATCGCTCCCGATTCCACTTACCTGGTTTTTCTTTTTCCTGCTCTTCCATTTTCTATAATAAAAAGCAACCCCACATATAGTCAATATAAAAATGACAGTCACAGCTACTGTCCATGCACCTTCTGTCTTTGTGTTTTCCTGTTCGGTTACATCTGAAAAATGGTTAGAAAAAGAAGTTGAAACGGCTTTTCTGTCACCATTTCTGGCTTGCGCGGCTGCCCAGGGGGCCAGAGACCTGGCGGTGGGAGGGGCGGTGCCTGCTGCAGCTCCGACAGCCACAGCAATTAAGCAGTGCCAGAGCCAGACTGCAGCCCTGTGGCCACACGCTCCAGACCCAGCCTGCCCGCCCGCCCCGCGCTTAGAGTCCCACATTCAAGTTACGGGCTTGGGAGAAGCGGGGAGGGCAGGGCGAGGAGCAGGGAGACAGTATCACCAACTGCGCTTTCAAAGCTGGACTGAGCCGGGGCCACGAAGCCTCCTCCTAAACACTACTAGGAAGTGGACAACAACGGCCCAGCTCTTACACTTCGTGTTTAGACAGGAAGAGCAGCTCTCTCCAAAGCACAAGCTCCTTTGGAGAGAGCCAGGCTTGTTCAATTAGCCTCCCCGGAGGGGTGGAAGAGCGCGTTTCCCAAGGCAGGCTTGCAGCTCAGACGTACCTGACACGTTAAGTTGGACGATTAGTGCAGTACATGGGCTATTATAACTGGGGAAAAAGTAACCATGGTAGGTTCCCGTATCGTTCTGGGTTATATTTTTCAGCAGCAAAGATGCATTGCCATTGTCAATCTCCTCGGGAAAGACCTCGGTTCGCCCACGAAATCTCTTTGCCTGGCTCTCAAGGTCATCCTTGCCATCTCTGTAGGCATGCATCACTTCAGGTGAATGCAAATGCACCGCTTCAGTCTGCCAGTTCAGAGTAGCTCCTAAAGGATCCACAGCTGCATCTGGAACAACAAAGGGCAGGAGCACACCATGGTGCACAGGCGCTGTAATGCTGATGAACTCCCTTCTACACCCGGGTCCCGTGCTCGGGATGGGCGCACTCCCTAGAAAGGAATGAATCAAAGACAGGACATTAGCCCACAGCTTGATCCGGCACCACCGACCTGAGCTGGAACCGGGCAAAGAGGACAGGGCTCGTGCTGTAGCACCCCATGAACATACCTCAAATCCACTTTGATCTTAACTAGCCCCAGAACCTGCCCCAACACGGCAACCGTCTGCGAGGCAAACCCACTCAGGGATGAATAAAGCTTCCCCAAGTGCATAGCTTTGCACTTCATAGCACTGCATTTCATCCCATCTCTCATGCCCAGGCAGCCAGTTCCCAGACCCGAGGCACCCCTTGGGAAATGCCAATGCTTATGCAAGTCTTAAATAACTGCGCAGTAACAACTGTGCTGCCCACCAGCCGCGTAGATGCAGCCTCTGTGTTTCTCTTGTGAATCATGCTTGCACACTTCACATTGCCCACATTGTGTGGCACCCCTGAAAGGGTTGCAGACATCTCAGGGAGCCACGGCCCCTGGTTCAGGATCACTGGCTTAGATCAACCGCGTTTCCATTGTCTAGCTCTGATGAGAGAAAGCCATCGGGTTAGGCTGGGGTGGTCGACCTCTACAGGCAACTCCCGCTGCACTGCATCCCGTTTCCAGCTGCATGTCTGTAGTCATTCCCTTTCCAACTTCCATGGCTTTGCACGCCCTCGGCATCAAACTAACCAGCCTGTAGCTGCCTAGGATCGCTCTTGCCTCCACCCCGCCACCCTTCTTACACACAGCCCCCTCCACGTGTTACTCTCCCACTGCACGGCACCGTCCTGGCTCAGACTGGTGACAAAGCCTTGCTGCCAGCCCCGCCGTGTCCGGAGCCACCTCTGTCTACCAGCGCTCGCCTGCATCCGTCCCGTCCGGTGCCAAGGGAGCAAGAAGGACGGCTCAACTCACCAGCTGCCGTGCCCAGAAGCAAGCAGAGGACCGGGCTTGCTGCGCACATTCCCCAGGTCTCCGGTCTCGGCTGTCCTCGAGCCGGGGCGGGGGCGGGGGCAGCTCGAGCAGCCGGAGCCGGGATCCCCGCTCGCCGCCGCCCTGCTCGGTTCTGCGCCCAGCCGACGTGATCTCGGAGACTTAAATAGGGTGACGGGGGGGGGGGGGGGGGGAGGGGGCGTAGTGTCGTGGGCGGGCACGGGAGCAAGTATGAATGGGCATCACCAAGTGTGACACGCCTGGAGGTGTGTCCCCCGGGGGGCGTGTCTGCGCCTTCGCTGCTCCCGGCAGACGTGGCACCGTGCAACGGCCCGAAGCAGCACTTGGTCAGAGAGACGCTGGTTTGCAGCGTTGCCGCTGCTTGCACGAGGTCTCCGAAGGCCCGCGTCCAGCTGGGCTCGTCACGCGTGTTCTTTGTCCCCCGTGTCCGCGCCCTGACACGCAGCCCCTCACTCACTGCGGAGGTCTGTCTCCTCGGGGCGGGAGTCCTGCCTGGCTGGGACACGTCCGGACGGGGGACTCTGAGATGGGGGTGTCTCCCGCTCCCCACATCAGTGCAGGGCAGTCGCAGCGAGAAGCGGATCTCTGCGCGCAGCGGGGATGGCTTCAGCGCTCACCCCGCAGGCGCGGGGAGCTCCTCCGTGCTCAGGGCTTGGGGCTCAGGCTTGGTGTCGGGGCTGAAAACAAGCAGAGCCGTGTTACCCCCGGGGGTGTCACGTCTGCCGGGGGGGGGCACCTGCTCGCTGTGCAGCCGCCGGGTCCTGGGGCACTGCTGCACCCCCCGCACCTCCCGCCGGGACCCAGCGCCCCCGAGCCGGGCCAGACGCCCAAAATTCACCCGCACAAGCAAGTGCACACAAATCACCCTCAGATTATATTCTGGCTGTCCGCAGACATCTTGGAGCACAGGACTGCACCGACAAAGCCCCAAGTGCTATCGGAATATGCCACCTAGCAGCATAACCGGTTTAAAAAGGTCTAAGTTACTCAAAGCAAGCACTGGTCGCCTCTCCGTTTATGGAGTGGGCACACATTTCAAAAATGCCATTAGAAAGATTCCCGCTGCGTAAAGCCAGACATCCAGAATCTCTTAATTTAGATGCACGCCACAGCCTGGTGTGTAATGACAGCAATCGTGCATGCAATGTCCTAGTTAGACTGAGCTTGCCTACAGAAGTGTGTTGTATACATTTCTCTTCTAAAAACAGAGCAGTGAAGAGTTTTAAAGGGCATTATCAGCACGCCTAGTTTGCATCTTCAGCCAGAAATGCCATTCATGGGCCCAAGTTCCAGAAAAACAGTGCTCAGCACTTCCTGAATATCACGTCCCTTTTAGGCTAGGTCCCCAAGAGCTGAGGCACTCCATAGCAATTCCTGAAAAGCTTTACGAAAGGCAAAAAAACCCTGCACCAATATTTCCTCCAATGATTTTTAAATGTCTTTATTCAAGCATTATACTCCCCCCACCTGCCCAATATTGCACTTTTATCCTCCTTGGACAATTAAATTTGATTATTTCAATTTCTGTAACTAAAGTTTTGCACCCCCCCCTAGAAACAAAGATGCTGCTCACAGATTTCACTTTCTAGTTCTTTCACCAAAAATTGCATTGTTGGAGCAGACGTTACAAGACCTTTTCTTTTAGCCTGGGACCTAACCAACTTACAATTTTGTTTATACATTCATAATTATGTAAAACTTCTAAAATATCTTCTTCTTTTTTTAAAATCAATCTAAAACCACCAAAAATCTGTTCATGCATTTCACGCAAAACATTTCGCCTGCCCACAAGTGCCAAGTCATTATGTCGCAATTCCCTGGTGAACTGTGCAATAAATGTGGAC